TCTAAATTATAATTAATCGGCGCGGCGCGTGGCGTATATGAGTGAGCGATTGTAAGTGTGATGTGTATAGTGTGCGTGAGGAAAATGATCCGAGAGAATGACACTTCGTCCCGCGAGACCCAAAATACAATGTAATGGGAATGTGAGCCAAATCTTTGAATTGGGTAAAGGCAGATGCCGGGCTGATACACGGTGAACGTGAACGAACAATCATACGGGCCGCTTAGTTTAATACACCCGGGTGGCAGGCGGGCATTGTAGAGTAACTTTGATTAACGTAATGTCTGTACATGGGGGGAACCATTAAAAGGTTGCCGGTTCCGATGCTTGAAACCCCTACACTTTGAGCTGACGCTCAAATACGCCGTGAACGTTTGTCGGGCGAGCGATGGTGCCCGTGTCACGTGCCCAGACCTCCGCGGCAAGGAGGGACATTCCGCGGCGCGCCTGCCGGCCTACAAGAGGCGCAGGCGGCCGAGTGTCGCCCATTCCGCTACCGCCACAGATCATCAGTTTCTTGAGCGTTGCCCTACCTGTGGCCGTCGCCAGCACGCCGGCGGAGACACGTGTCGCGCCGTTGGCGCCATCTGTCGTGCGTGTGGCGAACCAGGACATTTTGAGGTGGTGTGCCGCCGGAGGGCCAGCACCACGGCCGATCGTCCAGTGGCGACATCTGCAGTGACGAGAGTACGCGACTCACCGGTGGTGGCGCCAGTAACGGTAGCCGCCGGCACCGCCGTGTTGCCGCCGCCGGCGGACACGGGCCAAGCCGGGCACACTGCGCCTCAGCCCGCCGAGCTGAGTGACGCTGCTGACGTCCACGGAGCCTGCCCGCCGCCGGCGGGAGGCTGGCCAGCGCAGACCATGGACGGCGAGGCAGCCCCTGACAGCGCCGTGTCATCGCCGCAGGCGGACACGGGCCGCACCGGCAGTACTGCAGCGCAGCCGACTGAGCCGGTCGGAGCTACCGCATCCTACGGAGCCTCACCGCCGCCGGCCAGAGGCATCCCAACTTGGAGCACGGACCGAGTGTACCGAGCCTCGCCGCCGCCGGCGGGAGGCCCATCGGTAGCCACCGGCGCCGCCGTGTCGTTGCCGCCGGCAGACACGGGCCGAGGAGCCGGCCGTACCGCGGCGCAGCCCACCGAGCCGGCTGGCGCACACGGAGCCTGCCCGCCGCCGGCGGGAGGCTGGCCGGCGCAGACCACGGACCGAGAGGCAGCCCCTGATAACGCCGTGTCACCGCCGCCGGCGGACACGGACCGAGCTGGGTGTACCGCGGCGCAGCCTACAGAGCCGGCTGACGCCCACGGAGCTTCGCCGTCGCCGACGGGAAGCCTTCCAACGCGGACCAGCCATGGACACGGAACCGCTGACGACGCCGTGTCACAGCCGCCGGCGGACACGGGCCGAGTCGGGCGTACCGCGTTGCTGTCTACGGAGCCGGACGGAGCTACTGGAGCGTACAGGGCCTCACCGCCGCCGGCGGGAGGTCTACAAACGCGGACCGGCGACGGAAACAAAGCCGCTGGTGACGCCGTGTTGCCGCCGCCGGCGGACACGGACCAACCCGGGGGTACTGCGGCGCAGCCCGCAGGCCCGGCCGGAGCCGCTGAAGCCTACGGAGCCTCGCCGCCGCCGGTGGGAGGCATCCCAACGCCGAGCACGGGCCAAGGTGCAGCTGCCGGCCCCGCCGTGTCGTCGCCGCCGGCGGACACCGGCCAGATTAAGTCCACCGCAGGGCAGTCTAGCGGGCCAGCCGACACCCACGGGGCCTCGCCGCCGCCGGCGGGAGGCCTACAAACGCTGAGCACGGGCCCAGGTGCAGCTGCCGGCCCCGCCGTGTCACCGCCGCCGGCGGACACCGGCCAAACCGACTGTTCCGTGACACAGCCCACCGTACCCGGTGAGACTGATGACGCCTACGGAGCCTCGCCGCCGCTGGTGGGAGGCCCGCCGACGCAAAGCAGGGACAGAGAAGAGGTCGTCAGTGACGCCGTGTCGCCGCCGCAGGCGGACATGGGACAGACCGACTGTGCTGAGGATGACGCGTGTCTGGCGCCGCTCGTGGGCCCGGTTCAGGGGATGGCCGGAGACGCCGCTGGCTGTGAGCCGTGGCCGCCACCCGACACCGGAGCGCCGCCTACCGGTGACCTCCCGGGCGACAACGGAGATGTTGTGTTTGTATATAGGCCCCCCCCCGAGGCCCCCTACTTGGACCGCCTCTGCGACCCCACGGTGCCAGGTGCCTGTGAGCGCCCCTGCCGGCGCCAGCTGACTGTGCGCGCCAAGCGGCGTGACTGGCGCACGGGACGTGGGCTGGCGCTCGCCATACTTGTTTACGTTTCGATCTCTCTCTCGGCCCATTCGCACCGGTCTAAAATAAATCGCGTTGATATTCATAAGCTCTTTCACTTCGAACCGATAAACGACAACTAAACACATATCAGTCGATCCGCAACGTCGAGCCGAACACATCTAAGGTATTTTCAGCGCTCTAGCACGCCTCTATCAGAAGTTATTAGCGAAAAATTGTTAGATTCTGTTCGTGACCTGAGATGACCTCGGGGACATAACGAGGGGTCACAGTTGCCATTTTTCGGTTCAGTGTGTCAATCTTACCTACATCTCGATGTTTGAGAGTGTCTAGAATAGCGTGCGTGCAAAGCAGACGCTTTTCAATTTTCTCCCATTGGCTTATAATTATGGAGAGGCCGCAAAATTGACCTGACCTTAGGTCACCGATATCAAAATTCCGAGATATACTTTTTATAGATAATGTTGCTCTTATCAATCGCTGAACGTTTCGAGGCAATGGATCAATCGGTGTAGCTATGACGAGCATTTTTATATTTTCTGAGGTGAGGTCACTTGGCGTTACCTGGTGATCTGACCTAAGGCGACCTGGATCTGAAATTTTCACATGTGCGGAAACGATGCACGAACAGGTGTGCCAAGAACGGCAGCGCTCCGCCCCGTCGTTTTTGAGATATCTGCGAAAAACCGCAGGGGGGGGGGGAGGGTGTTCAAACAACCCCCCGGCCTGGCGCAGGTTAATTGTTCTAACTTCAAATATTTTTGTTATGTCCTCCCGCTTAACCCACGAGCCGCTGGGGGGGGGGGCATAAAGTTGCCCCCCTTTACGTTTTGTGGAATATCTCCGAAACCTGATGAGCTACGAGCGTGAAACTTGGCATAGCTTCAAATGAATACCTAGGCAATGTTTGAAGAAAGTTTGGTGGTTGTAGCATCTAAGATGACGTCACAGTGACGTCATAAAGTTTTGTCGTTTTCCGATATGGACCGTTTCTGATGACGCTGAGCATGAAACTCAACTGTAAATGAACTAGACAGGACCTGCTGTCATCCTAAAACAGCTAAGTACACTTCCATCTAGTTCCTAACCAATAATCGGCCCTTTATATTCGGTCCCATATACCTGATGTATCGTGAGGAAACTGAGAGTCGCAAATCTACAATTTGACTTATGACGTCACTGTGACGTCATTTCAAATGGGATCGACACCAAATTTGGACACAACTTTGGCTAGGTATTCAGGAAGATGTGTGCAAAGTTTCGCTTCTCTATCTCTTCGCGTTGCGACGATATCGCCGCGGAAGTAAAGGGGGGGGCAACTATATGCCCCCCCCCCCCAGCGGCCGGCGGGTGGCGCGGAGGCCCAGCGGCCGCCGGGTTAATAGCATTTGAATGACGGGTATCGTTTATCCTATCGATGGCATACGAATAAAAGGTTCGTTGTGTGCGGCTTTGTGACGCACAAAGCGTCAGCGACACAAAAGCATCACATCTTAATTGAATACTTTCTCATATTTCACATTATGAAACGGTGGCAATTAATTGGATCTGCGAGTCTGTGCTCTGATGCCAAAACAGAACACTTCTATTGACGATGGTGATGCCATTATGATCAGTTACAGCTAATTTATGCTTCCGCTGATAAGTGCGTTGAACGCTGCCAAACAATACAAGCAAGTGGGGACCACCATAATTTACTGACAGTTGTGTGATGTCATAACAGTTATTCGTCGTATTGGTGAAATGTGATTAACCTCTCGTTCATTGCAAGCTACCGCATTTAACCATGAGTAATTATCTGTGTGCAGGCAAGCTGCACACAGCAATGCATCTTATGTGTTTTATTTCCATGACGCCCGCGGCTCAGCCGAGTGGAAATGCTGTGCCGCAATGCCTCCCTGTAATGCGGCACAGTCTAGACGGAGCGGACGCCTCGGAAGAGCTGCCGCGAGCTGAGATATCGGCGAATTCTGTAAAACTAAAGACTACCTAAAATAAGAAAGCTGCCTTATTTTTCATAAAAACGGTAACTTCAAAGTTAAACGGATATCGATTCAATTTATCGCCCGCAGCGCTAGTCAGATCTATTTTTCGATTATTAACTCTGGCGGCTGAAGCCTTCACTAACCATTTGCCATCTTCAAAACGGAACAATGCCATATTAATTTGTCGTCGATATAAAGAACACTGCCTCGAATAAGAGCCCTGGTTTTTAACTTCACTGTAACATTACCAAATCACCCGTCGTGAAAATGACTGATTGAACAAAAGATGTCGCCGAAGAAAATAATGGCAATCATGGCATCAGCATTTTGCTGTTCTAGCCGCATCGACTCATCATGCCTTTTAAAGAGCATGTCTGTCAACTAAATGCACAAATGTAGGATTGTGAAAATTAGGGGCTTCCCTACTACCAACATAATTCGAAGTTAGGATTTTTTTCTCCTTCCAGAGAACGTCCAAGACGTTTAACTTCTGGAAAACGGTCCATCAAATCTCGAGATCTGGGGAAGAGGATTACGCTCCTCACTCTCACTTTTAGGGACTGCCTACCACTGATAGGGAGGCGCTAATTCAACGGTAAAGTAACATTACCTACGTTTTCATTGATGGTCACTTATACACACTTACGAACTACACGGTGAATAATAAGCTATAAATGTCTCGAAGTTTGAACGTTTACCTTATTCAATCTGATATGAAGAAGATTCTATGATATCACCAACACTGAAGCCCGCTCCATGGGCTGCATCTCACTTAAGATTCCCATTTTCTCTTCCGATGCACCATTCACCACGATTCGCTCACTCTCAGCGCGATGTTCGTGCCACCACCACCACTCTCCCCCTCTCGATCCGCCTCAGGTCAGCGCTGACCCGGCGCCGGCGGCCTCTTCCAGGTCAACTGGCCGCGGCCGGCCGCCGCGCCGCCCCGGCCGTATTTTTACATCCACTCCTGCGTCACCTGGGTGTACCACGTGACATGGTATTGGCACCGTCGGCCGTCGGCGCCGACGGCAGGGGAGGGTCGGCAGCGACGCTCCGCCGGTGACCTCCGCCTGCTGGGCACGGCGCCAGCGGCGTCCACCGACTCGGCAAGGTCAGAGGCGGCGCTCCACGGCGGGAGGAATGCCCCCGGGCTGTCAGTGCCGACACAGGAATGCCCGGCGGCCATGACGCCGCGGCCGCCATCAAACGGTGGATGGTGCGGCGCGAATGGGGAGGGGAAGGGTTCATTGACAAAGGTCAACAGGTGTCCATTCAACGCACAGTGTTTGTGAACCAGGAATGATTGCAAATCGGTCCTCACTAATGATGATCGGTTTGCTTTGCAGTGTGTGCCAAAATAAAGTGGCGTTGAATTGATGGGCCCCAAACGAACAGAGATCGGAGGGAAACGGGTCAAGGATGACCGCGAGGGCAACGCACTTCGTCGGAAGGGTTTCAGACCTCTTTGCTACGGGTCAATTCAATTGATTCCATCATGATCCTTATATGCATCATTAATTGCACATTGGTTTGCAAGGCGGATGCAAGGGGGCTTTAGGACTGGGGCCTTGCCCTTTTCACAGCGTAGAAATTGAAAACTGACGAAATTGGGTCGCTTTTCTCACAAAGAAACATTCATGACTAGCGACTCCGTCAGCGCAGCCGTCCTTTTAAGTCGGCGTGGGCCTCTTTCAGAATGGCGTGCATTCCTCAGACACTATTGCCTATACATATAACTGCACATTTTGTGCATGGGGCTCGGTGAGGACCCCGACCTAGACTTCCATATTTTTTAGATTTTGGTTTGTCTTGTCAATGGCCAGGGCGAAAAAATAGGAGTGGCCAAAATCCGATGAGAAAGGCAGATTTGGGGGTACCCTACCTTGTAAGCCCCGTCACATAAGGCCGGCCGCCGCCTTTGGGCCTTACCTACCAATCATTTTCGGAAAACGACACCCCTGTCAGTTTGTTTTGTTGGCTTATGCCCTTTCGTTCTGACAAGACCATTTCAGAACCGGAAGGATGATACTGGATAGAGACATTGGTCTTGGCGAGCACCCTGGGTCCAGTTCATATAGAGTCCCATTGCTGATACGTGACACTTATTGGAAAGGGCGACCCCACAAATGGATTCATATAGCCACCCTTACACACCTGCACCAACGTTTCCAAAAGTGTCCCTTTGATAAGTGGCATTTTGGCAAAGTGACACTTACCGACTGGCCTTTCTGTATGAACTGGGCCCGGCCCTGGTGAGTTGCCGGGGCTGAGCCTGACCAAAGGATAGGCCGAGCCGAGCAGCCCCCAAGCACTCACCGCACCCGGCTACGGGCGAGCTCGGCTTACGGGCAATCCCAAATGGGATAAAGTTTCCCGTCCAGTCTGGATCAGGGGGTTGCGGCGTGGAGGAGGATTTGACTTTCCTGAGGATATTTTGAATACAGAAGCTCTTTATGAAAAATGAAACATGCATTTTATATTATTTTAACGGTCAAAACAGCGGCCGATGTTGGCTCGATGTCGGCCCGACGTCGGCTGGACCTCAGCAATTGATCTCGGTCCGACGTCGGCCCGACGTTGGCTGGAGCTCGGCTGGACGTCGGTACATGCGGGCGTACCCGACATCCAGCCGAGGTCGGACCGACGTCGGGCTGACGTCGGCATGCCGATGCCGAGTAGCCGACGTCACCCCGATGTTGGGCCGACGTCGGCATGTTTACTGGGAAACTAGCCATAGCTCACCTTCAATGAAAAATGTAACCGAAGGTTTGTTGTCAATAGTTAAAACACTATTCTTTAGAATTGTGTTTTTCTATTGAAAAACAAATCTGAGTTCCCTGACAATTTGGCAAAAGCTGCCTGAGATCAGTATCATTTGAAGCATAATTCGAAACGCCTGAGCTTAGCGACATATGCTACAAAACGGGAGCATCGTCGCAAACTGCTGTTGTCTCATGTCTGTCTTTCAGCAGTGGACTGGATTCCGGAATACATTAGTCTCAAGGCCGTAGATCAGTCTATGATCAGTCTGCTTGTTTGACGGACGCTTCAAAAGGGGCATTTCAATCATAGAAATAAATTCAATCATAGGTGACGTACAATGAAAGAAATGTGAGGTTTCGCCCTCAAATCTTGTATTTTTTCAGTTAGACAATGATTGCGGTATTTCTTTGTTATTGGTTATAAATATTCAATAAATATTGCTTACTTCTTTTGCCAAACTTTATTGTTATGAAACACAATACAGAGTTGTGACGTCATTTATATAATATATTTTCAGACATATTTTGCGCATAACAGACAAAAGCTCGGTAGTAATGTGTTCGGTAGTCTTTCGTGAGCAGTGCGTTGATAAGTTCGTTTCCACAATTGGTGAATTTTGTATACTTTTATCTAGCCGTGCAAAGCTTCGAACATAATATTTCGCTGCTGCTGTCAAGATTGTTGCTGCGTGTAGGAGGAGAGAAACTCCGGGATAAGGGGAGTGTGGCGAAGTACTTTACATCGTGCTTGCTGTTGGGACGTCTGGTTATCAGGTATATATGCCATGCGCTTGCTCAGTGTGCAAGGCCCTAATCAGTGCACTCAGTGTTATATTGGTTGCAGTTTTGAGCGGATAGTTGTCTTACTCTCATCCAGTTAGACATTGATTGTTGATATTGCTGAAAAATTGTGGATTTGTCCAGAGTTGAGGTCCAAATTATCATTGGACTGAATAGGCTGGTAAGGGTTTTCAAGCTCTTTTTTGTCTGTTTTTTTTTTGATATCCATAGGGGCATCCTGCAAGGATCTGTCTTGTGCCCATTATTTTTCTCATTCCAGTGATTTGCCAGATGCTAGTAAGAGCCTCATTAAGATGTTCATGGACGCCATCAAAGTATGCTCATTAATCTTGCCTTTTTCGCACATTGACATCCCAGCTCCGAGCGGGGCTGGATGCTTTAGTCAGATGGTCAGACACCTGAGAGCATCCATTTAATGAGAGTATATGTAAGGTTTTGCACATGGGATACACAAATGATTATGAGAACCACCAATACACAATCAAGGAAATTCCATGTAAGACACTTCACTAGAGCTAGAGCATGACTGCCTGACTGGGGGATCCCCATTGACACAGAGTTGAAGCTCTGCCCTCTGTCAATAGGTACAATGGTCATCTCCAAAACTACACAGGTAATCTCGTCTCTCAGTCATTTGTCTCTCCTTTGTTCTGCTGCACTGTTTCACCGTTCACGCCTCCACTTCTGCATAAGGCACTAGTTCTGAGTTCATCCACACCTCAAATTTGGCAACCATGTTTGGGATTGGGTCTGTTGAGTGTTGAACCATGTGGATCAGAAACTGCTGGAAAGGGGACAGCGAAGGACAACACATATGGTGCCCAGCATCAGACGTGTACACTGCAAAGAACACCTGAAGAAGCTATATCTATCATTGTTTTACTATAGGCACAAGAGAGTTGACATTTTTTTCAATGGTGGAATTGACATCAGTCTGGACAGCTTCTTTGTTTGAGTGGCAGGCAGTTCCACACAAGGCCACTCAATCAAGGTCCTGAAGTCCAAAGCAACCTACAAAGTGAGAAGGTTGGCCATCTCAGTTAGTGATATTAATGACTGGAACTCTCTCCTTGCTGAAGTTGTATGTTTGACAGTGTTCAATACCTTCAAAGCAAGCCTGGGTACCCTTTGGGCCCATTTCTGGTACCACACACCAGACAGTTAAGCTGTTGAACCAGGGAGCCCCATGAGAGCCGGGCCTACATACAGACAGGCCTCACCCCAGATTCTGATGACTGTTATGTAAGGAGGCAGTAAACCCTAAGGAGACAGTCAACATACCTACTTGTAAAGCCTAATGAGAGTTGATACTTTTTTGTTCATTGCAGAGTTGCCATGCAAAGGCAAAAATGGTTATGTCAGGTCAGAGATCATTATGTTAGGCCAGAGGTCACTAAAACATAATTGTTTCTGCCTTTGTAAGGCAGACTGTTCGTGTACATTGTGCATTTCCCCATAACTAGCTGAGTGATTGTTACTTACTTGTACTTGTTGGGTTAGGGCGCATAGCCTCGTTGGGCTCAAGCGTCCATAGTTGTCGTCATCAGTGCGCCACTCTTGTCTCGATCGAGTCTGATGTTGCAGTCGGTTGCAGCCAGATGGTTCAGAGCGTTCAGAGGGAAACTAAGCAGATGAAGGAAAATGATAGGTTTAGCATGGGGATATACGCAGGCTTTGGATAATGTCCAGGCAGGAAATATCCGGTGGAGTATAATTAGTAAAGTTAGTATCTAACATATACCTGGTTAAAACTTAAAAATAAGAAATAAAAAGGTAGTTTCGGTTCTTGATTCATTCATCAATAACGTTCTTGACACCACATCTGTCCAGTGAGCTATTCCAGTTCAAAAAGATCTTCCGGCAACGTCTGCTCTTGGTACCTTACTCAGTTATCAACATGCGTTGGAGGGTTCATGATCATACCGAACCTCTACTTCGGAACTATGTGACTACTTCTACAAAAAGGAGCCAGATTGAACAAAAGAGTTAAGAAGGTATACATCCAAGAGAAATCGAGAAAAAAAAACTACAGTAGCAAACCAGTACAGGCTGCTCTTCATTCATCCACTGACTGCATCCATCTCTCACACCGATGTATCTCCACTCACTCATCCTTCTCATTCAACATTCAATATCCATTCACTCATCCCCAAACAATGCACGACTGTGTACACACATGAGGACGTCCATAAGACCAGCCACAGCACAGAACACAGAACACCGGAGAGACGACGATAAAGTGAACAATCAACGCAAATTACAACAGAAGGAGATCACGTCAATGTGCCAAATCGGCGGCACTGCCCTCCACATCAGTCGCGACAGGGGTTCGCCAATCGGCGGCCAAACTCAACATAAACCAATAATTACACATTAAATAACTTAAAACACCAAAATCACAACTAGTTCAGCGCATATCATTGCAGTCACAGCTTTTTGAAGAGGTTGATAGCTCGTAGAAACCTGAAAACCTCGTCGATGATGTCCGGGTGATGATCACCCAGAAGAGTTTAAGGGTAAGTGGAACATTCAATTGGAGGCACTTCCGTACAATCAATTGTCGATGGGTGGCATACGTTGGGCACTCAACAAGTAAATGTTTGACTGACTGGGGACACATACATCGGTCACATTCAGGTCTGGGCTCTCTATCTATTATATGCCCGTGCGTATACCGTGTATGCCCTATTCGCATGCGACATAACAAAATTTCTTCCCTCCGACTGGTCCGTCTACAAGATGACCATGAGCCGACTTCATCCTTGATCAGTTTCAAGTTGGTGTTGGGGTTATACTGCTGCCAGCACTGATTGAACAGGCGACGGACAGACAACCCTATATCGGGATAGTACTCCTTGGGACCCATTTCAAGGACTGTTATTTGTTCCATCGAGATAGCCTCCCTTGCCAGACGATCGGCTAACTCATTCCCAGTGATGCTGCAGTGACCAGGGATCCACAAGATGACAAGTTCACGAGCAGACAAAGTAAGTAATCGATGGCAGGCCTCTAAAATCATGATGATTGTAGGATGGGAAGTGACCGGGCCACGAAGAGCAGTCAGCACAGACAAGGAGTCCGTGCAAATGACGCATCTCATGACACCACTTTCCTGCACATACAGAAGTGCCCGTAGTATCGCGAATGCTTCCGCGGTGAATACAGAGCAGTTGCTTGGCAGCTTAAACCTTGCACGTCTATCCCCAAGTACATAAGCACATCCAACTCCGTCATGATTCTTTGAACCATCAGTAAAGCAGAAAGAGAACGTTGCATATCTCTCTCTGAAGTCGTTAAACTGACATTGTACTCCAATATCAGTCAAGCTTTCTTTTCTCTCATTTGTGAGTCGAATCAGGTCACATTTTTGTAAGTGCCAAGGCGGGATGGTACCAGAGATAGATGTTAATTCGTTTGGCATGTCAAAGTCAGTTTCAGCGCATATAGCAGAGAGCCTCTCATACACAGGGAAGCCTGCTATCCGCTTCATGTAATCACTATCTACAGCCGGCAGCGATGCATCGCGTGATATTAGTTCCAGACACGGGTGGTTGGGGTCACTCTTAACTCTCAGGCAGTACCGTAAGGTTAATTCGCACCGTCTTAATCTCAGAGGAGGTACGTCCGCTTCCACCATCAGAGGTAGTATGGGGGAGGTTCTAAGTGCACCAGTGGCGATCCTCACACAGGCATTCTGGATGCTATCAAGGGATTCGACTGCTTTATTTCGAGGACCATCCAAGACCTGGCATGCATAATCAAGTATTGGTCGGATCATTGATTTGTAAATTCGTAACAATATTGTCCTATCCGCTCCACAGTTCCCTCCTGCCAAACATCTAAGGATCGATATCCGTTTAGTGGCCTTTCCCTTCACATATTGGATGTGTTTGGTCAAATTCAGTCTCGTATCAAGTAATACCCCGAGAAACTTGACCTCCTCCGAGTAGTTCAAGTGCTCGTTGTAAAGCCTCAAACGTGGTATGGTAGCAAGTTCTCTAGCTTTCATATACCTCCTGAATATAAGGGCATTGCATTTGTGAGGTGAAAACACAAAGCCCCATCTGTCGGCCCATGCACTAACGTGGTCGAGAGCCAGTTGCATTTGGTCAATTAATTGCGTAATTCTCCTTCCTTGTACCCACATGGTACAATCGTCTGCATACAGTGCACATGTTGGGTTTCCAGGGACTCCATCGAATATGTCATTGATAACAATGTTAAACAAGACCGGAGAAATAACACCACCTTGCACTAGACCGTTTTCTTGTTCGAATGTGTCAGATAAGCAGTCGTTCCTTACTTGAAAAGTTCGATTGTCGAGGTAAGATCGTATAAAGTGCATCATGCGCCCTCTGAAGCCAAGTGCATGCATCTTGGTCAGTAGGGCCGCTTTCGAAATAAGGTTATAGGCGTTCTTAAAGTCCAAGAACACGGCCAATGTGTACTTGTTATAAAAGAAACCCTTCCTGACACTCGACTCCAGCCGTAATAGATGATCGGCTGTGCTCCGCCCCTTTCGAAACCCACACTGAATAGCTGATAATAATCCTTTGTCTTCCAAAAACCACGCAAGTCGTCGGGTAACCATCCTCTCCATGACCTTGCTAAAACATGATGTTAGTTGTATAGGCCGGTAGGATTCGGGCTGGTGACTTGGTTTCCCGGGTTTGAGGATCGGAACCATAATAGAATGCTTCCAAGTGTTTGGAAGACATTCTGAAAACCATACATAATTGATTAACTTCAAAACTGATGCCAGCTGGTCGTCATTTAGGAACTTAAAAAACATGTAGTGTATCTTGTCAGGTCCAATAGAGGTATTTCCACAATGAGAAATAGACCATTTCAACTCGTCCAAAGCGAACACATCATTGTAACATTCGTTGTTGTCGCTAGCGAACGACGGAAGCTGTTCGAACAAAATACTCTCTCTTTCCCTAAACGCAGCTCTATAATTAATGGACGCCGACATCCCCGAGAAGAAATTCCCGAGTACGTCAGCAACTTCTTTGGGATCGTCTGTCATGTTGCCATTGATACACAGCACGGGTAATGGACGCTGGTAACGCTCCTTCTTTGTAAAACGCCGTATTATGTCCCATAGTTGTCGCATGGGGGTAGTATGTTTAAACATATGGAGCAATTTCTCCCATGATTCCCGTTTCGCCTGTCTAATAATTCGCCTTGCCCTTGCTTTAGCAGCTTTATACTCCATGAGGTGTAAAGTTTGGCGGCTACGACGGAACCGGTTGAGTGCTCGTCGTCGACTACGAATTGCTTCTTTACATTCCTCGTTCCACCAGGGACATGTATATTTTGAGTTGTTTCGTTTCATAGGTACACTTTCCTCCGCCGCCCTTAGTAAAGCTTCGGTCATAGCTGTACAATTATCCAATCCCAATCCTTCACAAAATTGTAAGTCACACTTCTCAGTAAATTCAGACCAGTTGGCCTTGTTTGTGTTCCATCCCGTGAAATCGGCGTTCCGACGGGGGTTAGATCCAGTCAAATCAAAAGTTATGTATATAGGGCAATGGTCACTCGAATAAAGATCAGTATCGGTGCACCATTGCAAGTACTGACCTATATTACCAGTGCTCAATGTCAAGTCAATATGGGACCAGAGCCCCGTGTATTCATCAAGTCGTGTCGGGCTGCCATCATTCAGAATATTCAGGGCGTGTTGGCAGATAACTCGTTCCCATATAAATCCTCTGGAGTCGCAACGATCTGCGCCCCACATGTAATGCCGGCTGTTAGCGTCCGTACATATAATAAAAGGTTGCGGCAGCTGACTCACCAGAGCACTGAGAGCCTGCTGCGAAAGACGCTCGTTCGGCGGAAGGTACAGCGAACAAACACACAGCCGACATCTGCCAGTTGGTACTGTTATCGCAACAGCTTGTAAATCAGTATTCAAATTTATCTGACAGTGGGGGTGTTTGTTGTTAACATAGATACTAACTCCTCCCTGTCTCCTGTCTGTATTGGGATATGCGTTATATAGAGTGTAATTATTAAGTCGAAAATCATAAGGGTCATTGGGCAGAAAATGGGATTCTTGAATACAAATCACATCATTGCAATGTTCCAGTAGTACAGGTTTAATCTCCGGCCATTTTCCAATCATTCCACGAGCATTCCATTGCATGATGGTAAAACTTCTCACACTATTAACCATAACGCTGTTTCTAACTAACGAGACGATGGAAAAGTACCCAGCACGGTCAAGGTCACATTTGCTCTCAGTCTCGGCCCCGAGGTCGGGCTCATGCCGCGCCCCAGGACCGGGCCCACGCCGCGCCCCGGGGCCGGCCGGCCGACCTCGCGATAACATCGGGTCACGTGACCCATCCCACTGCCCCGGGCGCCGGTCGAACCGTCCCGGCTCCGACAAAACACGCCCGTTTCGTCAGCCCCGCCGCCGAACCGACCCAAAAAAGGATCGCCCGGCAATCTAGCGACCACCACCACAAAACCAAATATAACACATGAGACACTCAAACCCTGCACCAGATGCAAATCAGAATAAGGAAAAAAATTATATATAATCTGGATTCCAACTATAACCTGCAACCAACGCAGGTAACTGAAATTACTGTAAGTAATTGTTCGATATTTGCCGGAAAAAAAACACAAACACAGAAATGATTCTTTTGCTGGTTATTGTCTAAGAGTTGGGGGATAGGGATTGTCTTGCCAACACTGTTTGGACGAAGGGAGTCGCGAGGCACTTTGGGCCCGCTGCATTGGTTTGAGCCGACCACGTCCACCTCGCCCTGGGGCTCGAGTGAATCGAGTCAGCTCGGGAGACGGTGAAATCTCATCATCCCCATTCAGTGCTGGAAGGACAGGCATGTTGCCTGCCTTCTTTCCCTTGCCCTTCCTCACAGTTTGCCACTTCCCACTCTCCTTGTCAAATCCAGTCACTGGCCTTTCAGCTGAGTCAGCATCACCATGTTTTTGAACCTCCATAGAGTCACTCTCTGTCTCTACACATGAGATCTCACCACTACTCTCTACACCCTGTGCACCACTGTCAGTGATACAAGCAGGTTCTGTTTCATTGTCTGTACATTTGTGATCCAATTGTTTGCCCAGAACCTGCTTGAGCAAGCCCACCAGCTCTGTCACTGCATTTTCAAGCTTCCCCACCCTGGTTTTCAGTTCCTCCTCCTGTGGGGATGAGCCCTGTGGTACCTTAAGGACCTCAGCATATGCTTTTGGACTCTGTTTCTGTGCTTGATCCTCAAATTTTTTCCTCGCCTCCCCAAAGGATATGTCTTGTTCTACCTTCATTCTACATATTGCCCTCTCTTTGACCCATATCTCACACCTCCTATCCTGACAGGAGTGGCCACTCTTTCCACAGTTGATACACTTTGGAGTGCACTCTCCCTCATGACTCGGTTCCCCACAAACAAGACACACACGATCGTCCTTGCATGACATTTCAGAATGGCCAAATTTACCACATTTGTAACACATCATCGGGTTTGGGATGTACTGGTCAACTTTGTAGGTGACATAGTCCAGAGAAATCCTAGAAGGGCAGGTGGGGGTATCAAATGTTAGAAGGAGTGTTGCTGTCCTTTCAATGCGCCCATTGACCTTCCTTGTGAACCTTTTGACCTTTGTGACACCAAACTCTTTCAACCACCCTGCTACTTCCTCCTCAGACAGTTCGATCAGGTCATGGGCCCGCACGATACCCCGGGAGGTGTTGAGTCGTTCATCCCTGATCACCTGACACTCCTCACCTGCAAACATTTGAACTTTCAGAATCTTTGAGGTCTGAGACTCATTTTTTGTTCTCATCAACAGCCCACCATCAGCCAAGAGGCTAGCTTTAGCCAACCTATCATCAGGTCCCAGTATCCCTCGGATTCCGAGCTGAACCCAGGGCCATCCCTTTGATTTAAATGAAACATCAGATAACAACTTTACCTTCAAGAAAGAGCCTGTGTTGTTAGACTCTCCTCCGCCAAAGAAAAACTCGTCAGGTCGCACCCGCTTGACGGGCCGCCTTCGATCCATCACTTCATCACCTCTAACCACAAAGAGCTTGCCTTGCAACCGAAAAGGAAAATATAAACCAATGAACCAAAACTCCAAAACCCTCAGTAACGCGCGAGAGATCGCAGCTAAACTCGAGAGCTCCTTCCCCGCCGACGTCCCGCACACGAATGCTGAGTGATTGTTTTTGCATGTTTCAGTGTCACCTTTAGCCAGGCTTGTTCTGGTTCAAGATGCTCTTCATGGAAAATGCTGCCCCGCCATCATTCTTTGCAGCCAAATGGATTCCAATCATCATATCACTGCTGGTAAGTCTAACAGCGTTTATCCTACACTACTTAATTCATTCCTACTAAGCTCTCTTAACTGCTGTTCTTATCAGCTTTTGTGTTTCTTAAACCTCACTATAATATCCCTTTTGGATTGGCCAGCTAGTAGGTATGCATCAATGTACACAAACTTTGAAAATTGTTGAAACTATACCGGTCCCATAGCTCAGTCGGTAGAGCATTGGACTCCGCTTGGTGAGAGCACACGTTCCCGGTTATAACAGTCCGGGTTCGAAGCGCGACGGGCGCTTGACGTTTATGGGCCTCCTGACAGATATGGTCGCGGTTGGTGGCAGGCCGTAGCCAGACGAAGTCAGTGAGGGGACCGGCCGTGCGCGGTATTTGCGCACGTTAAACTTTGGACTCCAAATTCTGTCATAGAACCGGAACTGCTCGATCGGAGGGTAGAGGGCAGGGTCAACGCAACAAGCTTCACTTAGCGGGGGCTCTGTCCTTGTGAATCCTTCCATTCGAAAGGTTTGGACTAAATTTATTTTAAAAAACTTTGAAAACTTTGAAAAATGTTGCGCATTTGTAACATGATGTATACCTAATGTTCTTGATAGTCAGCTTACATCACACATAGTCGCCCAGCCTCTGATTCACATCACCTGATGTGACTGGCTCATCAGGATTGCTGTCACAAAGGAGTACGTCCATTATCCTGGCTCTGCGTGCAGTAACCCGCCCCCTGCTGCCGTCACCAGGTGGTATCGGCCGTCTCCTGGCCGTGCAGTAACCCTCAGTAACCCGCCCCCTGCTGACGTCACCAGGTGGTATCGGCCGTCTCCTGGCTGTACGTGCAGTAACCCGTCCCCTGCTGACGTCCCAGGTGGTATCGGCCGTCTCCTGGCTGTACGTGCAGTAACCCGCCCCCTGCTGACGTCACCAGGTGGTATCGGCCGTCTCCTGGCTGTACGTGCTCTACTACCAGCGGTCGACGGGACGGAGCTGGCTGGTGAGCGCCATGGTGGCGTTCAGCCTCTCCGTCACTCTGCTGATTCTCGTCATCATACCGGTGGACGTGTATGCCATCAGCAGCATGAAGCATAAGGACGGCACCTTCGAGCCGTGGGCGTCCCGTAACGCCACGCGGGAACATATCGAGAACACGATAATGACCGGATACTACGGTGGGTAGAGAAGTCTGATGGATGTGGGGTTATACTGAGGGAGGGGCGGGGTTGTCAGGGCGACAGTTCATTAGGTTTACGGTTTTAACCCTATTAGTGGCAGGGGGGGGGGGTTGTTTTTATCCACCCCTCAGGTTTTTCGGGAATATCTCCGAAACCGCTGAAGCTACGATGCTGGAATTTTCTGACTTTTCCTAAAACTAAATTGGGCACATTCCCTGAAAATTTCAAGTTCATAACTTTACCAGGGGCGGCTCCAGAGCACTGGGAATTGGGGGGTCCTATTCGTGAAGCGAGTCATTTGGGCGAAGATCACGATGCTGCACCAGTTTTACGAACAGTGAATAAAAGGTACCAGTAAAACGCCTTTTGGGCGAAGAACGAGCGAGCGAGATAGTGAGCCCTGCACGTGCGGAAGGGCGAGAGGGCGCTTCCAACGGGCTTGCGCAAAGCACCCTTCTAACCGGTCGCTAGCGGTGTGCCAAATTTGAACGCAATCGGCCCAGCCGTTCCTGAGATCTGGAAGCGGCATTCTGCACGTGCGCACGTGCAAACAGGGTCCAAAATGACTTTTGCACGGCACCCTACTAGCTGGTCCCCAACCGTGTACCAAATTTGAGCGCAATCGGCCCAGCCGTCCTTGAGATCTGGAAACGCCCCTGCACGTGCGCACGTGCAGTAGCACCCTAACCGCAACACATGGGAATGCATTGCCTGGTGGGTGCCTACCTGTATGCCAAGTTTCAGCGAAATCGCCCCAGTAATTACCGAGTTACTGAAATGGGAACAAATTTGACACCTCTTATTGTTGTATTTTGCACGTGCACTGGGGGTGACCCACATGCATCGAGAGTATCCTATTTTGGGTAGAAGGGATGCTGCTACCCTACAAAAATTACCGCAAGTCAATCGCCCAAGCGGCTACTGAGATATGAGCCTCTCAAAATCACTACTTTTGCAAAACAGCTTGAACACCCTTGACTTATCACGTGGCACGTGCCACGACGGTCACTGAGATGTATCAAAAGTAGTCAATTACGGGGTAGAAGGGATGGGGCTACCCAACAAAAAAGACCGCAGGCCAATCGGTCCAGCGGTTGCTGAGATATAAGCCTCTCAAAAGCGTTACAGGCCGGGCCGGGCCGGGCCGCTCATACTGAGATTTTTCCGTTATATTGAAAAGACTCACTTCGCTCGCTGCGCTCGCTCGCTCGTAATCATGTGATAACATATACAGCTATTGTGCATCCTCTTTTGACACGTTTTTGCTATAATAGGCGGATCCAGGCGTCCAAAAAGGGGGGTTATGTTTTACCTCCCAACATAGGTGCCCTGACACCGCCTATGCATTACCAATACAATTTTAGTCGTTCTCTCATAAGAAAATTATAACATAACAAGACCATTACTGTATGCCTGGCCTATTCAAATACATTAGCCAGAGGGGTGTGGTAATAACTGGTGTAAGCAAATTGACCACGGTCAAAAATGCATTACCAGAATGCACTTAAGCCAACATTTTGGGATGGTCTCGTTCCTAAGTCGGCTAAGAGCTTCGGTCCAGAAAATAAATTTATCGTTGGCATACAGTAAAATACATACCAAACTCGGCCGGTGATAAATTTTCAAGACCTCAGTCCTTACTGATTTTTGAACTCGGCCTTCGGCCTCGTTCAAAAATCCAGTAAGGACCTCGGTCTTGAAAATTTATTTACACCGGCCTCGTTCAGTATTATATATTACCACCCTTTTTAGAAACAGTACCAACAAAAACCTTATTTACTATACTTTTTGTGTACCCCCAATCTCAATGATCTGTATCCGCCTATGATTTTTGAAAATGCATATTTTTAGGATCCATGTGAATTCCTGGTTCATTCTCTATCGATCGGCAAAAGTTGCGTTAAGATTGGTTCAGAAACCTGGCCGTGATAAACAGTCTAAAATGTATCTGCAATTTGCCCGTTTTTACCCCCCTCTACCCCCCCTGTTGACATTTCTTAATTTTTATTTTTTAGAAATGTAGATCACGTTGAGCGAAATCGAATGCCGTTTGAATTTTGAAAATCGGCCCGTTAGATCTCGAGATATCAAGGGGGGGGGGTCGTAAACAGCCCCCCCCCCCCCCTGCCACTAATAGGGGGTAGCCAGGAGCCTGCCACTAATAGGGTTAATTGTCGAGAAACTCGAGCTTTTTGAGGGTAGGTAATACAAAGGAAAACCATTTTGTTGTTGGATGTTTTTGTTATATTTTTGTTATTATAAGTCGATATTGTTAAGAATTTCAGAATTAGATGGTTTGCCTCATTTCTGACTTATTTGGTTAAGCCCTACCTGATTCCACGATAGTCGCGTTTTTATATATTCAATGATCGTTTGGTATGCAGATCACTCATCGTTTCCAATGTAACCTTATCAATGGACGGATGTTTGACATATCCCGCGTGTCGTCATTTCAGTGCTGTACACTCTGGTGTTTTTCGTCGTTTTCTTCCTTCTGCCGTTCGCCTACTTCTTCTACCGGGAGCCGAAAGCGAATGAAGAGTGAGTGTCCCAAAGACGCCGATTACGTTCGATCTTGATGCACGATATGCAAATCATTTTAACTTTTTTTACATATCTTAGTGAAATCATAGATTGATATTTGATACAATTCTTATCACGACATATTCTGGTTTTTCAGCCATGTGCTACACAAATGTTGCATTGCCTCATCCTCTAACCCCTCTCCTCCCCTCTCTCCGCGTCCGCCAGGAGGGGTCGACCGGAGCTGACGGCTCGCCAGCGCGCGCGCACCGCCGTCAAGTACTCGATGCTGTTCGTGGTGCTGTTCTTTGTGCTGGTGGCGCTCGGACTGCTGGTACCGTTCGCACCGCCGCCCCCAGTCAACTCCACCGCCTGGCACAAGTTCGAGTTTCTCGTCGAGGAGTTGGAGACCGAATGTAGGTTGAGCCGGGTTGCGGGTGTTTGTATGGTGTATATTTGGGTTTTTAATCAATTGGCGTGGTGCAGATGGTGGGAGGGCTTACATGAGATGCTAATCGTTACGTAATGCTACCACATGTTTTTAACGATAATCATTGACAGTCAGCTAAGTTATAACCAAACTTATCCGAAGATTGGGACTTTTCAATTAAGAACAATTAGAATTGTGATTTTCTATTGAAAATCCCAACCTGAGCTACCTCTCTAGGGGTATGTTGTGACCGTCTTGTGAGAGTAATACGGATAATCTAAATTCTGACAAGTCATGTGAGCTGAAAAACTACGGTAACCGCTTCAATCGCTCAACATTGTGGTGTTTGTGTTCATTTTTATGCCAAGACAATTCATTTCACCCCGGCGCCATTCATTTCCCCCAGTTCTGCCTCCACACAATTTTAACTCTAACTTCCGTTGACAGCGGGCGAGGACGTCATCTCGATCCTGCTCTACTCTCTCAGCCTGGTCGGTATGTGCGCCGTGGTGGGGTACACCGGGCTCGGCCTGTCTCTCTGGCCTATCCGCCTCCTGCGCGGACAGGAGAGTGTCCAGGAGCAGCGCGAGGATGTGCGTCAGGAGCGCCGCCGTCTCCAGCTCCAGATTAACACGCTCAGGGACCAGGTGAGGAGGAGGAGTGACTGGGAGAATGGTTGAAAGACTGGGGAGGGGAGAAAGCTTATTGCGGGTGGCGTAAAGGTTGTAAAATGTTGACGGTATAATTACAAGTAATTAGGTCCATTCTTGTATTTCTGCGTGGTTGTCGCGTATGACCATAAAATCAGACCATGCTCAAGTACCACAACTATAAACCCTCGTACACACGCGCCGCGCAGCTGAACCGCCATTCATCGGAGCGTCTGTGCGGCCGTTTCTGTGGGCACCACATCGGACTGTTTACAGTGTTCCGTTACCGTCAGTCCGGCCGGTCGGTACACAGCCCACCGATCTCAGGCAGCTGTCACCAGCCACACTCAGATGTCCGTCAAGGCCACACTTTTTGCCGCCACTGTGCACCGCATTGGTGAATTGGTAGTTGCGCGCAGCGAGACTACGCAGAGACTGTGGTTATGCTGTTGCGCTTGAGTAGGATGGGACGTCTGGTATTATATAATACTGAACGAGGCCGGTGTAAATAAATTTTCAAGACCGAGGTCCTTACTGGATTTTTGAACGAGGCCGAAGGCCGAGTTCAAAAATCAGTAAGGACTGAGGTCTTGAAAATTTATCACCGGCCGAGTTTGGTATGTATTTTACTGTATGCCAACGATAAATTTATTTTCTGGACCGAAGCTCTTAGCCGACTTAGGAACGAGACCATCCCAAAATGTTGGCTTTAGTGTATTCTGGTAATGCATTTTTGACCGTGGTCAATTTGCTTACACCAGTTATTACCACACCCCTCTGGCTAATGTATTTGAATAGGCCAGGCATACAGTAATGTGCGTGTTTTATCGCTAGCGGAAATTACCCATCGCTGCCATCACTGATATATGATATATACGGGTTTCAGGTTTTGCCAGATACCCGCTCCCCCGTTATTGAGTTTCAATGATTACATAACGCCCAGGCCATCATTAGTTACATTGAATTCATCCAGTTCTGCTGGATACCGAGCCATGTGGGCATAAGAGGCAACGAGCTTGCCGACGCGGCCGCAAGACGCGCGGCCGCGGCCCCCTGCCTCCGTCGTTTGCCTCTGCCGGCTCGCGATTTTTACCCAGCCGTTTGATCTTTTACGACGTTTAGCTGGCAGACAGAGTGGCGTCTCCATGGATCCGAGAAGCTACGAAAGGTGAAACCTACTCTGGAGCCCTGGCTTTCAAGGCAAAAGACGCCATGAAGTGGTCCTCTGCAGACTACGGATAGGGCATACGTATGCAACGCATGGCTATCTCCTCCGTGGAGATGATCAACCAACATGTAGCCATTGTGCCGTGCCGCTCACAGTCACTCACATTCTCTTAAGTTGCCCGCACCTCGAACCAAACCGGACACGCTGCCTCGGCCGCATTGCCCCAGGCACCACCATTCGCCACCTGCTGGGTGATGACTCACCCTGGGTTTTATCCGGCAGCATCTTTTCTTATATTCAATCCATCAGTTTTCCTGTGATATACTCGTTTTACTAGTATAACGTATCTCAAGTAGTTCTAGTCTTCTTCAGTTCGTCAGTTCTCTGTTGATATATCCGCTTTACCAGTACAGCGTTATGGGCGCAAAATGACCACCGCAGTCGACGCGCCCGTAAACCCCAATGAACGAACGAACAAAACATTGGCATAGTTACTAGCGACCTACACGCGTCCTCTACAGCACTTGTATGACCTCTACATCCTCCTCCCGGCCCCCGTGCGGTCGCGGTGATGGTGTCATTCATATGCTCAGCACCTGACACCATTTTCAATCTGTTTATCAATTGACCCTGTTCTCAGTCTCCCGCCATTTCCCACGCAGCCATATTATCTGTATCCCCAGCTCACACGCGCGCAGTGTTGGAATGTGACTCATCTTCGCACCGTGAGTGCGTTGGCCCGGTTTCGTCATCTCTTCTGTCTACAACACTGCCCTGTTTCACACGTCCACACGTGCTTACGGCCTGGGGATGATTATTGTGCCGTCATTGTGTCGTCATCTGACAAATCACAGACGCGCTCCGGCCGTGTGTGACGTCATACGCTGTAGATCACCGGCGCGTGAAATTTAACTGGACGGAAATAGAACTTCGTCAAAAGTTTCCGGGTCTTGATCTGACCTTACCTGCACTGACTTGACTGTCAGGTCCATTGATGCTCGAATTGCCCGTTATTATATGGTCTGACGGGCGCTCGCTTAGCCGGGCAGACCAACCTGCCTTGCGTTTTCTTTCGCAATATGACCTGAACTGAGTCGATTAGCGCCGTCCTAACCTGGCTTGGGTTCACTGAGCTCTGACCTGACCTGGATTGACCTGAGTCGCAGGCAAACTCTCGACGTTCCCGTCGTGTCAGGACCTAGTCTGACCTTGCCTAAGGCCCCCAAACGCTGACCTGAGTCCTGACCCGACCTGACCTGACCTAACCTGACCTGACCTCTGCGCTGCAGGCCAACTACTCGACGTTTCCGTCGTGACAGGACCTAGTTTGACCTTACTGACGTGAACGAATACTGCTCTGATCTGACCTGACCTGACCTGACCTCTGCGCTGCAGGCCAACTACTCGACGTTCCCGTCGTGGCAGGTGGACCGATTGAACTCCCTGGAGCGGGAAGAAGCGGTGCTCGGACGCCGCGAGACCGAGCTCAATGAGGCAGTCGGCAACTGGATGAACAGGTAGGGACCCAGACAGAGTGGAAGGGTGTGAATGACAGCCCGTTGTTGGTACCTAGTGTGGACACTGGACTCGCTGTCTTGCCTCATGACCTAGCCACGCGTCCTCGATAGGCATAACTTTGATCGAGGCTGCTCGATCTTATTTATGGATTTAATGTCAAGTTTATTTAGCTTTATAATGATGTGATTTTATAAATACGAACCGTTCTTTTATGTTGCCTTCGTAAAATCGCTCTCTTCCTTGTCTTCGTCAGAATACGATAAAAAAGCGTTTGAAAGCTGAACGACACTCGGACTTTATAAACAGAATGATCGTCGTCTCCGCTGGATGTTCTTCGGGCATATCGTTTTGTCGTAACTTATCTCAATGTTTGTCAGATCGTTCTCATCCACTAATCTCGTGTTACTGACCGCCTTCCCGACTTCATGGGTTCTTTGACCGACGTTTGGTGGCGTGCTGTGTGTCACGTGAACTCACCAATTTGTCACGTGAACGCATAAATGACTGGAATGCATGGTAATCATGTCGTCCTAAAGCCTGGATTATTATAGTCGTGAACACATTCTGCATTGTGTCATTTGTACCTGCTACTTGTCTGTATATCTACCCGTTTTACCATGACTGATTGTTGACTGATTGTGATTATCTATCGTCCGTCCACTCGCTATCACCCAACGCGTTGTCTGCGTCAGGTGCAGTGGCTTCTTCCGTCCTTTCGAGGTGGTTCTGGGTATCACCGTCCTGGTGACTGGTGCCGTCACCTTCACCGCCCTGCTACTCAGCAAGTGAGTGCGCCAAAGCGGCTGGGAGGCTGAGATTAGAAGGATTAACGGATCGACCGCAGATTGTTGAGGATATATGTATAGCTATGTAGCTGTTGTGTAATGGAATAGCTCAATATTTCGTTGTTCGTTTTTTAATAACACGTTGGTAACGCGAAGGTATCGTTAATTCGCAAATAATGCTGACCTCTTTTGAATATACGCTAGAGACTAGTGGTGTCAATCGGAACTTGAATCTTCGGAATTCCGATTTTGTCCAATGTCCAATTCGGAATTCGGTTGGACAATGACAGCAGGCTTTGGACAACTTTGGACAATCGCTTGCTACACCTCAACATTTTTATAAAGTAATCGTGTTTAACATTGATTGGCTATCAAAAAGCCAAGCTTTCGATATGATTAACACTTTTGAGCTGGTAATGATACATTAACAGCAAATTACAGAACGGTGTTGAGTGTAAACTATTGCGTAGATGTCGGACATCTTTGGACAAATGGCTGGCTTGGACATTTTTGGACGGACAGTCGACGCCAGCATTGGACATTGGACGGACATTGGACACATGTTTTCTGAAATTGACATCACTACTAGAGACACGAATCGCCATTCTTCTGAAGTCGTCATCAACTGCTATATTTGTTTATGCTATATTTGTTTAATCTCGCTTTTCAAACCAGTCATTCAAACATCAGTCACTTGACACTCGCCCTCCCTCCCCTCAGCATCGACAAGGCGCTACACTCGCTGGGTATGAAGACGGGGTACATTCTGCCGGAGCGCCAGCTGCCCAACCCGATGGACTGGCTTCTCTCGGAGTCTGACCGACTGTACCCGCTCGACTACATTCTCTACTTGGTACTCATCTTCACCCTGGTGGGCGCCACCGTCAGCTGCATCCAGGACATCGGCGTGCGCGTGTTTGCCGTTAAGGTGAGTATAGGACGTCAATGAAAGCATAATTCCGTATAGTCGACGTCAAATTGAGTGTAAAATGAGGCCTTCAGATACGCTGGTGTGACAGTGGATGCAGGGATCATTGATGAAAATGTGCAAGGTAGGAGCTGTTAGACTGGACAGGTTTGTGAACCACGAAATTGGAACTGAAGCCTAGTCACTAAGCTGAATTGATAAACCTGAATGAATAGTTTGATATCTACAGCAGTATTTCCCCGATGACCCCTCTCCCGTCGCTGTCCCAATAGCTGTACTCGATTCGCCCGGGCCGCACGCCGGCGCACGGTCTGATCCTGCTGGTGCTGAGCCTGGTGTACGTGCTGCTGGCCCTGAATGTGCTGCTGCTCTCGATCGCGCCCCAGTACACCATGTACGGCGACCAGCACTACATCAAGGACGAAGTGCAGCCGGACGGCAGCGTGAAACGAGAGGTGGGTCCGTGCAACGGTCGGGACGGGCGGGAGCGCGGGAGGAAAGTTGATAAATGGTGCGATAGAACCGGGGAGCGCGGCGGCTCGGTGATGGGGGAAGGTGCAGACTCTGTAGCGGATTTGGACAGCTTGTGAGAAATGGTGGTGGCGATGGAGGTTACTCCTTAGCCTCTGGCGGCTTAATACATACCTGTCTGGTGATGGAAAATATGTTTTTACCACCTCTGCCCTATAAAGTTTCCCTTACTAATGCACTGTCCGTTATCCACCCCCTCCCCAGGTTCTGCCGTGCACTGCCAGCGCGCCGGCCGGCGAGTGTGTTCTCAGCCGAATGGCCCTACTGCTGCTGCGCTTCTCCTACAAGGCCTGGATCTTCGGAGCCGTCTTCTACTGGGCCACCTGGCTCTTCCTGCTGGTAAGGACGAGTGAAATCGAAATGGTGGTTACTGGTTAGTCCTGCTTTATGAAATTCGTTGCAGTTTCTGTATTGCTCGTTTTGTTGCTAAGGTCTCGTAGCTGCTTATCACACAATACGTATGTGCTCGCCTCGTTTGTGGTGATTCATACTCATTGTTGAATTTTTGCTACGATCTGCTCAGTATGCATCAGCCGGTAAATCATTTTGCACTGGTTTTGTGTAAGGATTATTTGGTTTCCGTGCCAGTCACCCACAGAACGATGCTGAATTATCACATTTAACATGCCAGCTGCTTCGCATTCACCTTAGCCTCGTAGATGACTGTGCGATCTACATAATTGAATTGGGGCTCGTTTTATCCATACCCCATCCCTCTGCTTTCCCCTTTCCCTCTCCTTTTCCTTCTCATGCTCTTCTTTCTTATTTGATTTGTCTTCCTCATCCACTGTCGCCCTCCTTTCTTCTATTCTACTCCTGTCCTGTAATCTCCTTTTTCTCTATTTTTTTTTTCTTCTAGACCCACTCGTTCTCTTTCTTCTGTTTCTTTCTCCCCTTCTCACCCGTTCGCTCTATCCGTTCCAGTCGGTGGTGATGGGCTTCTTTATCGCGCTCTACCGTCGCCGTCCCAGACAGGGGGCTGGACTTCCCACTGAGGAGGACAGACTGCTGGACAATGTCGACGCCTGAGGACAGTGAGGACACATTGAGGACACGGTGAGGACAGTAAGGACACATTGAGGACACGGTGAGGACACTGAGGACTGAGGACAGTGAGCATCTTTCATGACATGGGAAGGAGCCACGAGGATCCAGGTGATTTGAGGAAAGGGGCAGAGGGAGGACTCTGGCTTCAAGAGGAGAGGTACTCGCTGTGAGGACAGTCTTGAGGACGTGGGATGAGCGACTGGATTGCTTGATGGATGAATGATGAAATGGTATTGTGTAAAAGCAAGAGTTTTGAGACGTGATTGCGTTAACAGAAACAGTGTGAGAGATGATTGAAGCTACAGTCTGTTTGCACTTGAGTTCTGTCGCTTGTGTGCAATGATTTTGTCGTTCCTTTCTGTTATATGAAAGCATGCGAGCAATTGTGATTCCTTATGACACGCCAAAGCACAGCAGTCTCTTCATTGCTTTGAAAGAAGTCAATGCTTCCGTTATATATAGACACAATTTCTTAGTGAGCTGGATTGCAATAGCCAAATGATTAGATTAGCTGACCAGGGTCTGGTTAGCATGATCAGACAGCTTAGGAGCGCACGCTATCAGCTATACCGCCGAATGTTGTGTACTTGATTGGAACGACGCTTGAGTCCTATTGTGCGATTATTGTATCGCGTTTCCCTCATTTCCACTGCCTGTGTTGCGTTGCCGCTTTTTCGCTACTCCTGGCTGCAAGCGATGCGTAATGGCCTGTTCTGTGTGGGGAGAAGTCAAACCCCGCCGAACCCCGACTGTGCTGGAATCAAATCATACTGTGACCGTTGCTTCGCATTGAGACTCTGCCGCGTATTGGTGTATTGAATGATCGGTAGGGAAGTGGGAATGTCTTGAATGATCAGTAGGGAGTGTCTAGTAATGCCTGTAGTAGTCCGACCCACTCTCGTGAGTGGAGGCGAGGTGTCGCTGACGATTTCATTCAGATATACACTGTCCTAGCAATCACTTAGATATCCGGCCAACCTTTTGTAGATGAGGCATGTCACAAATTCAATATCGAATGTAAACACGACTTTCCTCTTATCTTCCGCTATTGTGTGGTTTTGCCGGCAGCGGGACCGTTTTGTTTGTGACATGATTCCGTCGTCGATGTAATTTTCACCACAATTCAGGTAGACATTGCCGAATTTTCGTCGACGTAATGCTAGTTTGTCAGGTTGTCCGGTGGTCTACGCCAAATCATTAAGCACCTGCCGTTTGTGTTATTGTCCCCATGTCTTTGTGCACCGATCTGATTCGTATGTCTCAACAGTAGTTTTGTTTGTGGTGCCCGATATGTTGAATTAGCTCATTTCACCTCTATTTAATTACTCCAGTGATTGGGTTGTTGCTGCTCATATGTGTTATAAGTTTCGCCCGCAGTATCGCAGTCAATGACTTCATGCAATATGATCTTCAATGTAACTGCGTGGCATTAATGGATAATCGAATGTATGTACGCATGCTTATCCCAATGTACATTTGCGCCCAAGTTACGAGGCGCCGCTTCTGGGTGACGATACCAGCCCTATTGTAGATGTTGGAACTAGTTAATTCGTACGTTGCCCCATTGTACGAATTAGGGGGCGTCTTGGTCGTTCGGCTGTGGATATATGTTTACATGTTTATCCTATTAGATGCGTAGTGTTTACACTTCTTGCCGGCTTTGCCAGGTTAGTCCTTAGGCGCTAGACGAGGGAAGTTCCCTTGCTTTTCATTGCGTTTAATCAGGTGTTCTCTGAGTTGTATCATTAAATACAGTTACATATGGTTAAACTGTTGTGTGTCTCGGTATGCCCTGAAGGCGGATCTCGTGCAACATAATTCGATGCGTGGATTGAGATGAAATGTCCATGGGTGCGTCTAGTGACCTTTGCATGTGCTTATTATGGGATCTCTTTGCCAGTGGATCAGTTAGGCAGTTTGCCGCGTGATTAAGTGCCCTTTTCCATCCCTTTTCCTGCGAACGAACCCTTGAATTTATGTCCATGTCCGGTTTGAGCAAGGGTTTGAGCACTTTAATCATTTTTAATCTCTCGGTCTCATTCAATAAATAAGTCTTATGTAGCTATAGCAGCAGCTTTTAATGTGATAATGTGATAACTTATTCTCAGTAGCCTCAGGGCTCGCTCATTCCATTCTCAGACGGTGTTTACATCCAGCATCTGCCGCCATGGCGAGTGCCGGCATGAAGCGCCACATCGCGCTGGCGGCCGCCGGCTCCGACGGCAGCTCGCCGACGCCGCGGCTCTCGGTGCGTCGCGCCGGCCGCGCCGACCGCTCCAGCATCGAGAGCCTCGAGTGGGACGAGAAGTGGGCACAGAACATCTACGGCTTCTCCAAGCTGGAGCCGCTGCTGGAGCACGCGGCTCTCTCGCTGGTGGCTGTCGACGAGTTGGGCGCCGTGCAGGGGTTCGCCGTGTTCGACGGCCAGCCCACCGAGACGCTGCTGCGCGGCAAACCGTGGCGCGGCTGGCTGCGCAACAGCTCGCCGCTGCTCGGCCCTGCGCCACTCAGCATCGCCACGGTCCTGTTCCAGACGCGACTGGTGTGCGCCCGGCCGGCCCTGGAGCACGTGGAGATGGCCCTCCTCACGTGGCTGTTTGCCTCCGTGCCAGACCTGGAGCGTGTCTTTCACGTGGCACGCTGTCAGCTGAGCGATGTGCACGGGCTTGAGGAGATCGGATTTCGACCGATATCGTCGCTGAATAACCCGGAGCTGGTGCTGGAAGCTGACCGACGCCGCTTCGTTCCGCGCCTCGCCACCAGACCGGCGCGGCTCGAGGACCACGACGATCTGCGACCCATGTTTGATGTTGACGAGGAGCGACTTCGGGAAAAGTTCGGAGAGTATTTTCTGGCTGAGGTGATTGCTGACGAGCGCGAGTCGTCCTACTCGGCGGTGGTTGAGGTGGACAAGTTGGCTGTGGGGCTGATGAGTGTGACCACTGAGGTAGATCTTGACACACTGAATGTGAATTTCGAGCTGGCACCTTTTCATGGCCTGCGTAAACCCGACCCGGACGATGTGACCGGTTTTAGGGTGAAACTTAGTGAAGAAGTGCTCGGCGTACGTCCGTCTGCTCTCCGCTCGCGTGAATTTTCTGAGAAGCAAATAGCAAGTGATTCAGCGAAATCCATAACTGAGGGCGGAGAAGAGAAGGAAACTGGAACTGAAACTGGTCAAGAAGCTGCCGACGGGAAACAGTCTACTACTGGGGCCGAGGCGAAAGTCAGCCAATCAGCCGCCGCAAAAAGGGAAACTTCTACTGATGTTGCCAAAGCCGCGTCGGGCTCCTCGATCCGGAGTATCGTCGGCGTTTCGGAGACAACCGACGAGCCTCCCGCCGAGCGAGAGGTTCCGATGCTGGAGCAGCTGTGGGGTCCGGCGATCTTCGAGCCGGGGTTCGGCCTACCCGAGGTAGACGAGGCGCCGATCCCCAACGATACAGAGCCGGACGACACACGGCCCGTGCTCGAGCTGATCTGGGGCTTCCCCGTGTCCGCGGACGGCACCGTCACACGTCAGGTGAGCTGTGTGCACCCCGGTGTCGGTGCCGAGCCGGCCACCGGACCGACTCCTGAGCCCCGCCCGGTGCCAGAGTACCACGGCGAGCCGAACGCCGCTGCCGTCACTCTGTTCTGTATCCGGGACGAGTATGCGTGCCGCTCCATCGACCTACTGCCAGCCGTGCTGGATCGCATGCGCGACGTGGATTACTTGGTGATGACGGTGCCGGCCGACGCGCCCGAGACACCTCTGATGGAGCTCTTCACGCGGGTGCCGCACCGCGCCACCTCGACGTTCCCTGACCAGCTGTTCGTGTTTCACCGCGCCTCGCTGGTGACTGATTTTACTGTGACGAGTGCCAAGAGCGCCGACCTGGGTGCCATCCGCACTCTGGTGAAGCATACGGAGAGCGCGGAGAGTCTGATGCTGACGGTGCGGGAGATGTTCCTCAGCGGAACGGCGCACAGCTCGGTGCTGGTGGTGCGCTGTCAGGACCAGGTGGTGGGGGTGATTGTGCTGAAACCCGAGATGGAAGTCGAGTACCTACGCTCACACTTTGAGATCGAGGAGTACGTGACGTGCGAGCATCACGATAATGGATTCGGACACCTGTATCATATGGTGTTGAACCCAATCTTCCGCCGGTTCGCCCGTGTCGTCCTCGGTGAAGTGATGCGCCTGACTGGTCTCTCCGTCCTGCTCTACCCTCTCTTCCCACCTGGTTCGGAGGACGTCGAGGGTCACAGTCTGGCCTCGTCTCTCGAGGCGCTGAGTCCGGTGACATGGCGTCGTCAGATCCAGTATCCTCTATCTCACGGCTCCCTCGGCGTCAACATACCCAAGCCGCACATCCTACAGCGTCGGGACCCGCTGGCGCTCCAGCTTGCCTCCCGTTCCACCGTCCTTCGACGTCGCCGGCGGGTCAACAGTCGGATCGTGGTGGTGGGCGGTGGAGACGCCGGTCTGGCCATTCTCGAGCGGCTCGCCTTCTCACGACAGCTTCTGTTCACCAACGTCACGCTCGTAGATCCTCACGGGTTCCCGGACGGCGGCGGAGACGAGCTGGCTGCCGCCATGAGGATCTCGACGGAGGAGTTCACTCCGGAGCGCCTGGGAACCATGTGGCTACACGTCTGGGTGAACCTGGTGCGAGGGGTGATGGTGGCCATCGACAGGTGAGTGAACGAGTGGACCGGCAATCAGCGTTGTCATTGTGCCCCCTGCTCGGCCACCTGAGGGTGTGTCATGTGTTCAATGGTTCATGTTGGCAAGGAACTAGCAGACGTTAGTTCAAACCTCAAAGGGTTTCTTGCTCGTCACGGCCGTGTCGTCAACGCGACTAATTAAAGCTTGCATGATGCATGAGCATTCGTAGCTTGTCCCGTTCATAACTGACTGTGGTAGCGTAATACATACAACAGTTTCAACATGCCCGCTTTAACTAAAACTGCACACGTCTCTCTCTCTCTTCTCTCTCTCTCTCCTCTCTCTCTCGCTCTCCCTCTCTCTCTCTCTCTCTCCCTCTCTCTCGCTCTTTCTCTTCTCCTCCTCTCTCTCTCCTCTCTCTCTCTCTCTCTCC